GAATTTTTTTAAGGGCGTCCGATCCCATGCCACGGATTGAGACATCATGCAGGAGGTACGGGGGGCCTTCCTGGGTATAGATGAAGCTATGAGCCATGCAGAAGTTTTAAAGTAAGTTTGTGCCTAGCTCCTATGAAGTACCTACTCTTATCTTTATTATGTTCATAATAATAATATCTTTATTTCTACAAGCACATGTTCAAGGTGTGATGAATGGTATATAAGCCACCTCTCTGGCCCTATGCTGCATTTCCTACAAGAGTGATGGACTGAACACATCGATTCCAGGTTGAGGGACTGATTACCTCAAACTTCTCCTCTCCTTACCCATTTCTACTTTGTATTGGACTGATGAAGCCACTGTGTGGCAAAACATTTCTTCAATAAAGATTCCCATGTGTTGCATAAGTGTCTCAATTCTTCAACATGTACAAGGTATACAGACCATAGATGACATCAGTGACATACTACTAGTATATAGAAAGCCACTTGTTATGCAGAGCATTTTGGGCAAATTAGGTCAGTTTTGTCCCAGGATGCAACCCACACCAGTCCACTAACACCCAGGTCCCCATTTTATACTGATGGGGTGAACATGGACAGCGGTGTCTTATGGAAACACTTTCCTAATTTTTCCCCAGCCGTACTGGAGATGTGAGCCCCAGACCTCAGTGTGTAAGCTGAGTGCGCTAGCGATCGAGCGTCAGACCTACTGGCCCATGCAAGGCAGGTTCAAGTCTCCCACTGGCTTAAGCCAGTGCCCAAAACCTAGTCAGGTAAGGTCACATCCTTAAGGAAGGAGCACGGCATCAGACCTATTAGCACAAGCTAGTCTGGTCCAACTCACACCCACCCTTTGATGAGTTGCAAGAGTCTTTGTACAGTAAATCCACAACTTATAAACACACGTGTATAATATTCATAATACAGGAAGTCTTAAACTTACAAATAAGTTGGGGACCTGTATTGTTAGTAAGTCGAGGATTTACTGTACTCCCAGAGCCCGGCCTTGGCCAGGTTCGTCTGGTTTTTGCCTAGTCAGCCAGGCTGTTGATGCTGGTGGCCCACTGACCCACATATAAAATTGACTGTTAGTGGTGTGTGGGTTATTTATGAAGTGATTGAAGTAACCACTTTGCCAGACTGTCTGCCACACTTCTAGCAAGACGGTGATTGACTGATGGTGAATGACTTTCCTTTATTTTTGGGGGTTCATGGGGTGGGGGGTTAAAAGTGTTTCTTCTTATCTGGGTCACCCTGCCTTGGTGTGTGATGGCTGATGCGTTAATAATAAAAAAATTACATCACGCATGGCCTAGGGAGGAAAGATAGTACAGTAAGTCCGCAACTTACAAACACTTTGAGATTCTTCTGTGTTGCGTATATCATTACTGTGTATATTATTATTACAGTGGACCCTTGGTTTTCGTGTTTAATCCATTCCAAAGCAATTGGCCAAGACCAAAACCATTTTCCCCATAAGAAATAATGTAAATAGAATTGATTCATTCCAGACACCCAGAAGTATCAACAAAATTTTTTTTTTACCTTAAATATTCATTTACATACACAAAAGAATGAACATTAAACATGACACTTACCTTTATTGAAGGCTGTTGTTGCTGGAAGGAAGACAGGGAGGAAGGGAGAGGGAAGATAGGTTAGTGTTTGGAAGGGGAATCCCCCTCCATAAGGACTCTAGGTACCAAGTCCTTAACTGGGGTCACATCCCTCCTTTGTTTTTTACTGTCACTAGGACCAACTTGAGAGTCACTGGATACCTGTCACACAAAATATCTGTTCAGATAGGTCTGTTTCTGGCATCTCTTTAAGATTTGCCTAAAATGGTACAGGGCATTGTCATTGTAAAAGTCACCAGCATGGATTGCAACAGCTTTCTCAGGGTGGTGTTCCTCCACAAATGAATGCACTTTGCACAAAGTGCCTTTGAAGAAGGCGCCTTCTTCCATCTCTCTTCCTCCTCCTCTGAAGCAATTTCCTCAGCTGTGGTCTGTTGCTGTTGCAGCTCATCAGTGGTTAGCTCTTCATTGTGGTCCTCCACCAACTCTTCCACATCCTGGCCACTCACATCCAACCCCATGGAATTTCACATAATTTCTCTTTGTCACAATGGAGCTGATTGTTGATGGCGACTTCCCATACATCCTGCCGAGTTCAGCAATGCGTATGCCACTATCATATTTTCTTAGGATTTCTTTTTTCAGTTCTACAGTGTTCCTCACTTTCTTTACCAAAGCACTGGCACTAGGAGCTTTCTTTGGGGCCATGGTCGCTTATTTAGCAGTCACACATGATAAACAATGGATTACAGTGGACCCTCAACCAACGGCGGCATCGACTAATGCCAAAATCGACTAACGGCATTCTTTGGCTTAAAAAAATTGGCTCTACCAACAGCGAAAAACTCGTCTAAAGGCTTTTGTCCCGAATGTGTCCATGTGGCCAGAGCGCGGCCTGAGCGGGCCCAGCCACTCCAAGACCCCATGTACAGCCAGTGTGCCAGCGTTTACAAGCCGATATATTTTGTATTCCAGTGTTTTTAGTGCTTGTAACTGCTAAATAAGCCACCATGGGCCCCAAGAAAGCTTCTAGTGCCAAGCCTGTGGTAAAAAGGGTGAGAATTACAATGGAAATGAAGAAAGAGATCATTGAAAAATACGAAAGTGGAGTGCGTATGTCCGAGTTGGAAAGGCTACATAACAAACCCCATTCAACCATCACCACTATCTTGGCGAACAGAAAGGCAATCAAGGAAGATTTTGTTGCGAAAGGTGCAAGTGTGTTTTCAAAACGGAGATCACAAATAATTGAAGAGATGGAGAGAGTGTTCTTGGTTTGGATAAACGAAAAACAATTATCAGGTGATAGTGTTTCTCAGTCAATATGTGAAAAGGCAAGGCAGTTGCTTGAGGATCTCATTAAGAAAATGCCTCCAAATACTGATGATACTGATGAATTTAAAACCAGCAAAGGCTGATTTGAGAGATTTAAGAATCGTAGTGGCATACACAGTGTGATAAGGCATGGTGAGGTTGCCAGTTCAGACAAAAAAGCAGCTGAAAAATATGTGCGGGACTTTAAGGAGTACATAGAGACTGAAAACTTAAAACCCCAACAAGTGTTTGTGATGAAACAGGCCTGTTTTGGAAGAAAATGCCAAACAGGACCTACATTACTCGGGAAGAAAAAGCGCTCCCAGGACACAAGCCTATGAAAGATCGGCTCACACTTATGCAGTAATGCTAGTGGTGATTGCAAAGTGAAACCTTTACTCGTGTATCACTCTGAAACTCCCAGAGTGCTCAGGAAAAACAATATTGTCAAGGGTAATTTGTGTGTGCTGTGGAGATCAAACACTAAGGCATGGTCACTAGGGAAATTTTCCTGGAGTAAATGACAGTGCTCCTGCTCATCCTCACGACTTGCAAGAGCAAATTGCAGGGGAGTTTTGCTTCATAAAAGTGAAGTTTTTACCTCCTAATACAACTCCTCTCCTCCAGCCCATGGACCAGCAGGTCATTTCAAACTTCAAGAAACTCTACACAAAAGCAGCATTTCAAAAGTGCTTTGAAGTGACCTCAGACACTCAGTTGACCCTAAGAGAGTTTTGGAAAGATCACTTCAATATCCTCAGTTGTGTAAACCTTATAGGTAAGGCTTGGGAGGGAGTGACTTGCAGGACTTCGAACTCTGCTTGGAGGAAACTGTGGCCACAATGTGTACAAGAGAGAGATTTTGAAGGGTTTGGGGCTAACCCTCATTAGCCTATGCCAGTTGTGGAATCAATTGTGTCATTGGGGAAGTTCATGGGTTGGAGGTTCATGGCGAGGATGTGGAAGAGTTGATTGTAGAATAACGATGAAGAACTAACCACTGCAGACCTGCAAAGCTTGAGGTGCAATGGCAACAGATCACAGCTCAGGAATGTGCTTCAGAGCAGGAGGAAGAGAGACGGAGGAAGTTGCCTTCGTCAAGGATTAAGGAAATGCGTAAAATGTTTACAAAGATGCAAGCATTTGTGGATGAATTTTATCCTGTCACAGAAGTTGCAAGCCATATTGGCCACATGTACAATGACACTCTTGTGTCCCATTTTAGGGAAATCCTAAGGGCATGTGAGAAACAGAGCTCTCTGGACAGATATTTTGTGAGACAGGGGTCCAGTGACTCAAGCTGGTCCTAGTGGTATTAAAAACCAAGAAGGGAGGTAACCCACCAAAGGACTTGATACCTGAAGTCTTTATGGATGGGGATTCCACTTCCAAACAACAGAACACTGAATCTCCCTGTGCTGGCACATCACTCAACAACAACTACACAATAAAGGTAAGTGGCATTTAATTATTGTTTATTTTGCATGTACCATTTGTTTCTGCATAGGGAAATGTATATTTCATGTAAAAAGCATTATTTGTATAATACTTTTGGGTGTCTGGAACGGATTTAATTCTATTTCCATTATTTCTTATGGGGAAAATTAATTCGACTAACGACTAATTCGACTAAGGGCTAGCTCTCTGGAACCGATTAAAGCCATTGGTTGAGGGTCCACTGTATTATGAATTGTTTCGTATGACCTGGCTGGATATGTTCACTGACCGAGAAACAGCGCTACATGGCGAGAATGTGTGTGGGAGGCAGCTTTGTCTGCGCACTGGGGACTGGACAGGTTCCGTTACGATTAACAAAACGGAGGTAATTGACGAAAACTAGAGCCAAAAATTGACGAAAAAAAGTCAGCCAAACTGAAATCGGTGATAGCTAGATCGACGAAACCAAGGGTCCCTGTATTATATTATTATACACAGTACAGAAGGTCCCCCAACATCTTTGTTGGTTAAGGATTTCCTGTATGTTGAATTATGTCTTAAAATGTTGATTGTTTTTCAGGCTGGCTCAGGGTATGAACTTGAATGTCGTAGTCTTCGACACTGCTCTGACCAGACACACACACTGCTCCAGCTGAACACACAATGTGTCTACTTTCATTTCCTCAAGTGACTGGGACTCAAGAACCAGACAATCCCTTTGTAAACCAGGTAACTTGTACTTACAAAATATTCTTTCTTGTGCTCACAAAATATTCTTTTTTTTGTGCTTAAAAAATATTCTTTCTTGTGCTTAGAATATATTCTTTTTTTGTGCTTACAAAATATACTTTCTTGTGCTTACAAAATATTCTTTCTTGTGCTTAGAAAATATTCTTTTTTTGTGCTTACAAAATATACTTTCTTGTGCTTACAAAATACAGTGGTACCCCGAGTTTCAAACAGCTCCCTACTCGAACAATTGTGTAAGTGTATTTTTGGGGTCTGAAACAGACTGATCTAATTTACATTATTCCTTATGGGAACAATTCACTCGGTAACGGCACTCGAACAGCCTTCTGGAAACGAATTGTGGCCAAAACTCGGGGTACCACTGTATTTTTTCTGTGCTTAAAACATATTCTCTTTTTTTTTTTTTTTAACACTTCGGCCATCTCCCGCGAGCAGGGTTACCCAAAATAAAGAAACACTTCACCATCATTCAACACTTTCACCATTATTCACACATAATCACTGTCTTTGCAGAGGCACTCACATATGATAGTTTAGATGGCACTTCAAACAGCCAATATTCCAAACCCATCCTTTAACCCTTTCGGTGTCAGTCCCATAATATTACAGCTTTGAAGCCAGTGTCAGTCCCATAATACAGTAGGGCCCCAATTTACAGCATTTTGCCTTACAACGTTCCGCTAATACAGGCATTTCAAATTATGACCAAAACTTGCTATACGGCTCCCCCACCTGATTCTAATACAGACACTGCACGCCACCCAGTTGTTTACATTCTCTGTGAGCTCCATGTCTCTCCAGTATGTCTGGAAACTTTCCAAAATTTCATGTGTTTTAAAATTATTGCATATTTTATTGTACTTTGATAATTATACAGTGGTACCTCAACTTAAGAGTTTAATTCTTTCCGTGACCTATTTTGCAACTCAATTTGCTATATATCAAATCAATTTTCCTCAGTGAAATTAATTGAAATGCCATAAACCCATTCCAGCTCCCCAGAAAACACTGCAGTTTTTTATGGGTTTTTTAAATAAGAAAATGTATTTATAAATAAAGAAATGTTTTTTGCCTTTTTTCCCAGGTCCAGCAATGTTTTAGAAATGCTGGAGTATGTGAAACTCCTTAAAGCACAGTGTAAGAGGGACTGTCACTCCACTGCTGACAGTGCACCAGTGGGGTGACATTTGATGATCATGCACTGTTTTGGCTTTTTTTTTTCACTGTACACAAAAAACATGTCTGTTTATCTATTTGTTTGTATCTGTCTATCTGGTTGTTTCTGTCTGTCTGTCTAGTTATGTCTGTGTTTATCTCTGTCTCTGTTTCTCTGTCTTTCTGTCTCCCTGTGTCTCTTCCTGCTCTCTACTGTCTGTCTCAGAGAGAGAGTTGCTTATGAACCAACAGGTATTACACACAAATACTTATTATGTCTTTATCAACAAGCATAGTACACCACTTTGTATTTTTGGGTTACCCTAGGTTATTTACACTATGTATAACTGTATTTATGTGTACCTGTGAGATAGAGACAGAGATAGAAACAGCCAAAGCAAATCAGCCAGCCACCACCCAAAGCGAACATGTATTACACATTCCAGATTTGTTTCTCTTTACTTAGGGCATACATTATAGAACATTCTGGGGGCAAAAATGGCAAATTAAAGGGTGGGTTTTTAATTTGAAAAGGGGGTTTTACTCTTGGATTATTGAGGTTTTATGATTTCTCAATAACCCACGGTATTTTTCTCAAGCCGAAGTGGGCATTTGAAAGGGTCCACTGTACTGGTTTTGGCCTTGGGGCCCCCCCAAAAAAACCCCCAAATCGACCGATTTGAAGGTTGTAATCGTTGACTGAAATTTTGGGGGCAGGGTAATTTCAATACCACTGGTCTTAGGGTGAACCGGGAAAATAAATTTTTAGTTTTAAAACCTCGGGTTTTAACGACATTAATCCATTTCAGAGAGCTTGTCTTTAACCGATTTTTTCGTTATCCAAATAAATTTTCCCCCTAAGAAATAATGGAAATCCAATTAATCTGTTCCAGACACCCCAAAGTATTAAACAAAATCATTTTTTTTACATGGAATATACATTTCCCTACACAGAAAACAATGAGACATGCAGAATAAACAATACTGAAATGACACTTACCTTTAATGAGGACTTACTGATGAGTGATGAGATGGGAGGAGGGGAGAGGATGGAGGAGATTATAAGTGTTTGGAAGGGGGAATCCCCTTCCATAAAGGTTCAGGTAACAAGTCCTTTTCTGGGGTTACTTCCCTTCTTTGTTTTTTAACCCGTAAATGGTCCAAACATATATACATATATGTTTTTACTGCTAGTGCCCCAAAAGTATATATTCGTTTTATTTTTCCTGCCCTTCAAAAATTTTGGGATGATTGGCCTGAGATGCCTTGTTAGCATAGAATGGGTCCTAACACTCAGTGTGCACGGTATTAAAAAAATCTGGGACCCCCTTTGTGCCTTGTGGGGGCACCAGTTCAATTGAGCGCCAGCTAGGCCAAGCTGCCCCAGCAAACACCTGGGATTCATTGATGTCGTGTAGTTTTTAACATACCATTTAAGAGGAAAGTAATTTTGGCCCTGAGTTTAGTGGCTTTTAGGTGGGGTGTGGCCACAAGGGGTCGAGGAAATATCCAAAAAAACCCCGATAATAACCCATGTACAATTTGTGCAGCACCCTTTCAGAATGTCTTATAACCTATACCCTAAGTAAAGAGAAACAATTCTGGCTGGCTGGCTGATGGTGACCGGCTGGCTGGCTGCATGGCGGCCCGCTGTGTGGCTGGTGGCTGCTAGCGGTCTGGCTCTATCTCCTTTTTTCTGTATCTATGTCTATCTCTGTCTCCAAACTTTGTCTCTGTCTCTGCCTCTCTATCTGTCTATCCCCTGTCTCCATCAATATGTCTTGTATATCTCTTTCTTCTGTCTCTGTCTATCTCTGTCTCACAGGTACACATAAATACAAGTATACATAGTGTAAATTACCTGGATAACCCAAAAAATCCAGACAAAGTTTCTATACTCTGCTTGAAGATGTGATAAACATGACAATGCAGTCTTGTGGCTCTCTGAGACAGAGAGGTTAGATGGATAGACAGGGAGCCTTGACAGACAGGGCAAATGACGACATGTTTGTGTACCCCAAAAAAAAAGCAGGCCTAATCTTTTCTTATCAAGTCTTATCACTGCACCCTCATGAATCCTCATCAAACATAGCTCTTAATCAAATGTTATCTCATCTTATCACGACACTGTCAGGGGTGGACTTTGTTTTTCTGCTTCAAGGGAACTTATTATTATTATGTATTCTCCTCCTCACTCCTCCTCTCTCCTCTCTCCTCTCTCCTCTCCCTCTCTCCTCTCTCCTCCTCCTCCTTCTCTTTCTCTTTCTCTTTCTCCTCCTCCTCGAATTTATAGTCCCTTTTCTGTATGCAAAACTATTGTTATTATCTATAAAATGTATTTTTTGTTAATATTTCCCATGAGAAATAATGTAAATCCAATTAAACCATTCCAGACACCCAAAAATATTAACAGAAAATACATTTTATAGAGAATAACAATAGTTTTGCATACAGAAAAGGGACTACTAAATTCGAGGGTCCACTGTACTTCCACATATCCAAAACATTGCTGGGACATATAAATACTTTGTATATATTCCAAGACAATAGTAAATGACCAAGGCAGGTGTAAATGTCCACCTGTCACTGTGTTTGTGACAATTTGAGTACAATTTCAGTACCTAGTACTAGTGTCAGAACAAAGATTGGTTATGAAATGTCAAGAACTACTATAAATTGTAATTATCAGAATATAAAAATTATATAAAATAATATGAAAAATAGGAAAAAATGTATATCAGCAATACTTCTGCAAGCGGCAGGACTCCATATTGCTGTCACGTGAGCATCCAGTGCCAACTTCTCAGCCTCATATCTCAGTAAGTACTGGTCCCTAAAAAATTTTTTTTATCCTATAACACTTAGAAAAATGTGCTCTTTTTTTCAATAAAAAAAACTATTTTTTTATTTTTCAAAAAATTCGGGGCACTGGGGTAGTGAACGTATGTATACGTTTGGACCGTTTACGGGTTAATGCCACTAGGACCAGCTCGAGTCACTGGACCCCTGTTGCACCAAAAATCTGTCCAGAGTGCTCTGTTTCTGGTGTCTCTAAGATTTCCCTAAAATAGGACACAATATTGTCTTTGTACATGTTGCCAATATGGCCTGCAACAGCTGTGTCAAGGTAATGTTCATCCATAAATGCTTGCACCTTTGTCCACGTTGTACAAATGTCCTTAATCTTTGACGTAGGCAACTTCCTCCATCTCTCTTCCTCCTCCTCTGAAGCACATTCCTGAGCTGTGGTCTGTTGCTGTTGCACCTCAAGCTCTTGCAGCTCTGTAGTGGTTAGCTCTTTATCATCATCCTCCACCAACTCTTCCATATCCTCACCACTAACCTCCAACCCCATGCACTTCCACAACTGGTATAGGCTCCTCAGGGTCAGCCCCAAACCCTTCAAAATCTCTCTCTTGTACACATTCTGGCCACAATTTTCTCCAATCAGAGTTCAAAGTCCTTCAAGTCACTCCCTCCCAAGCCTTACCTATAAAGTTTATGCAATTGAGGATACTGAAGTAATTTTTCCAGAACTCTCTTAGGGTCAATTCAGTGTCTGAGGTCACTTCAAAGCACTTTTGAAACACTGCTTTGGTGTACAGTTTTTTGAAATTTGAAATGACCTGCTAGTCCATGGGCTGGAGAAGAGGAGTGGTATTAGGAGGCAAAAACTTGACCTTGATGAAGCTAAACTCCCCACAATTCACTCTTCCACGTCTGGAGGATGAGCAGGAGCATTGTCCATTACCAGGAGGCACTTGAGTTCCAATGTATTTTCCAGGAGGTAATTTTTCACACTGGGGCCGAACACGTCATAGAAC